TTTTTTTTTTTTTTTTTTGATGATGATAATGATTGTGCATCTTGCATCAGGGTTCAAAGACATCCATTTGAGAGAATAGCCACTCCCTTCCAAGTGTACAGCTGGACTGCACCACAGAGTGATCATGCCATGGACTGTGTGAGAGCAGAGGATGCCTACACCTCCCGTCTGGGTTACGAGGAGCATATACCTGGCCAAGTATGTCCTAAAGTCATTCTTCCTTCAATTTTCGGTGGACTTTGTTTTTTTTTTTAATAGTGCTATTAAAGTTTCTTTGTATTCTGTGATAGACTAGAGACTGGAACGAGGAGCTCCAGACAACCAGAGAACTTTCTCGTAAGAACCTCCCTGAGCGCCTGCTGAGAGAACGAGCCATATTCAAGGTGAACATACCAACACTAGCTTTAGAACAATTACGGTTTCATTTGATCAACAGTGTGTGCTCACAAAGTCGCTTCTGTTTCATAGGTTCATAGCGACTTTGCTGCTGCGGCGACGCGTGGCGCAATGGCGGTGATCGATGGCAATGTAATGGCGATCAACCCTGGAGAAGAGACGCGCATGCAGATGTTCATCTGGAACAACATTTTCTTCAGCTTGGGTTTTGATGTACGTGACCACTACAGAGAGCTAGGCGGAGATGCTGCTGCCCATGCTGCCCCCACCAACGACCTGAATGGGGTGAGGGCATACAGTGCCGTGGACGTGGAGGGGCTCTACACCCTGGGCACGGTGGTGGTGGACTACAGAGGTTACCGTGTAACTGCACAGTCCATCATTCCTGGCATCTTGGAGCGGGAACAGGAGCAGAGCGTCATCTATGGCTCCATTGACTTCGGGAAGACCGTAGTGTCCCACCCCAAGTATCTGGAGCTTCTGGAGAAGACCAGCCGCCCACTGAAGGTGCAGCACCACGCTGTGCTCAATGAGAAAGACACCGCTGTAGAGCTTTGCTCCTCTGTGGAGTGTAAAGGTATCATTGGCAACGATGGCCGCCATTACATCCTGGACCTTTTGCGCACCTTCCCACCTGACCTCAATTTCCTGCCGGTGGAGGGTGAAGAGCTCGCCCCTGAGAGCCAGAAGCTGGGTTTCCCCCGCCAACATCGCCATCGCCTGGCTTGCTTGCGCCAGGAGCTCATTGAGGCCTTTGTAGAGCACAGGTGTGTTCCAGCTACTTGATAAACGTGCTCATTCAAATCTAAAGTTAAAGAGTAAAGTTACTCTTGTTGTCTAATGAAGGATTTGTATACTAGCAGTGGATTTCAGGTTCCAAAAAGACACCATAAAAGTAGTTCATATGACTGAATCTGTATATTCAAAGTCTTCTAAAGCCATATGATAGCTTTGTAAAAGAAACAAACCAGCATTTTAGGATGTTATCATTGCTGTCAATCACAAATAGGTCTTTTATTTTATTTTAAATTAAATATGTATTTAAAATAAATATTTACATATATTTTAGTTTTGTTTTTGTAATAGTTACTACTAATAAAACAATAATAATAGTAATTATTAGTAGTAGTAACTATTACTTCTCTTAAATTAAATGAATCTTCTCTGAAAGTCCTGAAGGCTAGTTTGTCGACTGGTCTAAACATCTCATCCTCTTGTGCCTCAGATATCTCCTCTTCATGAAGATGGCAGCACTCCAGCTAATGCAGCAGAAAGCAAACAAAGACAAGACTGCAGCCCTGCATGACACGAGCACTGCAGATGCGGAGTCTGAAAGCAAGCCTCAGGCCCTTGAAGCATCTGAGAAGGTTCCTGACGGCATGCCAACCTCTCCAACATCCTCTGAATCCACTCTGACCCCTGATGACTCAGAGGCAACGTCTGAAAAGTCTGCTCCTGAAAACCAGGAAGCCCCAGCAGATCTGAAATCGGCAAACACCAATGGTACTCATGAGTCTTCAGCTGCAGAGAAGCAGAATGGAGGGTGTGATAGTCTCTTGAAGGGTAAGGAAGCTGATGAAAATATTCCTGGACTTGCCCAAGCTAAAGAGCTGGCTGAGTCCTTAGCAGCAGAAGATGGATCCGGTATTGGTACGTGCTGTGAGCGACCGAAAAGAGCATGAGAGGAAACAAGAGCAAGAGCTGGCAGAGACATGCACACGTACTTTTTTTTTTTTGTGTGTGCTTTTTCTCATCTTAGCTCCATATGAGTTCTGTCATCAACTCATTAGATGTCCTGCTGTTGTTGTCTTTTTCATTTGCTCTCTGTGTTCTTTCAGTGCATCTCTCCTCTGTGCTGTTTGCTCCTGTTCTCTCTGAGGCTCATTGAAGGAGACATGTGTCTCCTAGATTGGCTTTGTAATAATCTGGCTCCACTGTGTGGGGACTTCAGGTTTTTACCCAGACATCTTGCACCCGGCAACACTTTCCCTTCTAATCTGTCTTCGTGGTGTTATTAGAAAACATAAATTTTTGTATTAAAAAACAAATTAATTTATTGTGCGTAGGATTAACTTGTGGTGATGGTAGTCCTATAATCTTATCCTAAATGCTAATAATTAAACCCAGGGGTTTTCAAACTTTTCCATGTGAAGGACTTTAAAATATGAAATTATTTAATTTTGTTGTCTTCATAATTTGACATTTCTCTCAGTATAAATGGAGTGCAAAATTATTTATAACATTAATAACTATGATTGGGAATGTCGTGTATATAACATTCTAATGAGAACATTATTATAATAAAACGTTGTGAATTCTTTGGGTTTAGTTGCCGTGTTTCAGCGCGTTGTTATGGGAAGAGCGCATCCACAACAGGATCACACATTCTGACTATAGCACGCAATAACTGTGTCATTTTGTACATATATAAGTTGTATTATTATGTTTATGTTGTATTAATATTAATCTCAGGATGCATTTCCTTGAGTTAAATAAGCTGCCAGCAAAACGCTTCAGTTTACCGTGTTCATTCAGCTCTTCAGCTTCAGCTTGAGCTGCAGCTCAATGGCTGCTATTTAAAACAGTGGTATTAATTTGTTACTTTTTCAAAATCATTGGTATATTATTAATAACAACAACCACTTGTATTTTTCTCTTATTATTTTCATCAACAATATGGTTTAGTAATTAAAATCATTTAATTATTGTCCGTGCAGAGGCTATTCTGTTTTATTGATCTGTGGCACATTCATTTTGATTCTTTACACGTGTAATGATGTCCAGTGACTTGTTTGCATTATTTATGCATTATTTTATTTATTTGTAAGACTTTTTTATGACTAAATTTGGTAATGGGAGAGTAAAAATATTTTTAAAACGTACACCGTTCAAAATAGGCTGCTTATGTTGAAGTGTTTGGGATGTGGCTTTTAATGATGAGACCTTTTTTGTAATCAGGCTCTCAAAAAGTATATAACAATTTGGATATAGATTTATCGGCCAACATATCGGTTATCGGCTTTCAAAAATAAAGAATAATCGGTTATCGGTATCGGCCAAAATTTTCATATCGGTGCATCCCTATTTATTTTTGTTGTTATTTGTATTATTATTATTATTATTAATTATATTACATTAAAAATTTAATATAAATATTTATTTAAAATAAATATTTACATTTTACTTTTTATTTGTACTAGTTACCAATAATGATAATAATAATGATTATTGTTATAGTTAATATTATAAGTATTATTTTTTATTAGTAGTAACTCTTCCCTGGACCCAGTTTGAAAACCCCTGACTCAACCAAACACCATAACATGATAATCAATTATTTTTGTTATTTTATTGTTAGTTGATTGTGTGGTGTTGTTTTTTTTATTATATATTCTACTTTTTATGGTGGAGGTGGTTATTTAGTAGTTGTTAGCTAGAATTAATTTGGACTTTTTGTGGAACATTTTCACAGACCCCAAAAGTCGAGAGGTGGTCCTCAATGCCTGTAAAGCTGTGGGCTCCATCAGCAACACCTCTTTCGACATTCGCTTCAACCCAGATATCTTCTCTCCAGGTATGGAAGACATTATATTTTGTATGTGGACTGTGATTTGTCTTTTTGACAATATAGGCAGTGTTGGTCACATGACCTCATCCATCACTTACAGGCGTTCACTTCCCTGATGACAGCACTGATGACATCCAGAAACAGAAGCAGCTTCTCAAAGATACTGCAGCCTTCCTAGTGTCCTGCCAGATCCCCTCTTTTGTGAGTCACTGCGTTCTCACATAGGTTTATTAACCATTAGAAAATGTAATAATCCATGAGTGGCTGTGGTAGAGTCATTCTAATGCACTGCCTTGTGGCTTATCGCTATTATAAAACGACGGCTACAGAAATATGATAATCGAACCAACTTTTCAATAAATATTTAAATGTATGAATAATATTCACAGGTAAAAGACTGTTTAGATCACAGCTCTTTGCCTATGGATGGAGCAACGATGACAGAAGCCCTTCATCAGCGTGGCATTAATGTGCGTTATCTTGGTACTGTGCTGGAGTTTGTCGACAACATGCCTGCAAAAGCACAAATTGAACATATCTACGTAAGCAAAGGATCAATTTATATATTACAAAAATATTTTTTGCTTTATTTTTAACATTATAAAGACTATGTATTTAATTAGTTGCGTTTGTACATGTAGAGAATTGGAATCAGTGAGCTGATCACCAGATGTGCAAAGCATATCTTCAAAACATATCTTCAGGTAAGTTACTACTATACATTGACAGCAATGCAGTAGTACATACACGCAACCAATCAAAAGTTTAGGGTCAATAAGATTTGTTGTTGTTGTTTTTGAAAGAAGCTTCTTATGCTCACCAAGACTACATTTAATAAAAAATACAGTAAAAACAGTGATATAGTGCACTATTATTACAATTAAAGATAATTTTATTTATTTTTAAAATTAATTTAAAGTGTTTTTATTATTATTTAAAATTATTAATTATTAATTATTGTTATTATTTAAAGTCCCCCTGTGGTGAAAATCAAGTTTTTTATGTTGTTTATTTGTCTATGTGGTGTTTTTAATATGCTTTTAGACAAACCATGTGCCAATCCATTTATCAACACCATTGCTGAGTATTTTCTCCTTAAAACTGTAGTTTCCCCAAAGGCAGTCACAGAAACGCGGTTTGAAACAGCCTTTTTTTTTGCTACTTAACAAAATTCAATAACCAATCGCGTCAAGGGATCCTATCCTTAGCATATCATTAACTGTGCTGCAAAGCAGAGGGTCTAGTGAGAAGGCAGCCAGGTTAATCCGGTAAAAGTTATAATTCTTCTGTAGATGTTTCGCTAACTGTTAATATTTCCCCCTATTTTCACGATGTCATGTGCTGTTAGCGCTTATTTATTTGTATTTAGAACCGCTAACTTGAATAATAACCCGCGGAAGCAGTGTAAAAGTAGCCCGGAGTCATTTACTTTTACATTTAGTCATTTAGCAGACGCTTTTATCCAAAGCAACTTACAAATGAGAACAATAAAAGATAATTTGAATATATTATATATATATATATATATATATATATATATACACATATACATTTATATGTGTGTATA